CAATTCTGATGCCAAGACTATGTTTTCCTGTAGTAGCTGCTTATCCTTTACTAAAGCAGCTTGCTTAGGCGGGATGAGGTCTGGGAAGATAGGCTTTAGTTTTGTTACTTTGTAGAGCGCGTTGCAGCAAGACACAAGTCTATAGTGAGGTATCATTGGAACTAGTGCCTGAATAGCAGAGGCAGGGATAAAGTTAGAGATGAGGAACTGTCCGATAGCTTCTGTAACCTCAGTCCCTACAATGTCCCAGCAAGCTTTGTAGAAACATAACTCTTGTGATTTCTGCAGCTGAGGGGATTAGTAGCATGGCATTCTGTTGATCAGCTGGGCATCTGAAGCGAGAGAGAGATCATGGAACCAAGCAATTGGAAGCTAAGATGGAGGAGAGGTGGGCTATAGCAAGGGAGCTTTATGGCCACTGGATCGTTGACTAGGGATCCAGAGGATTTAGTGAAGAATAAGGCAGCTGACGCTCAGAGGCATCTTCAAATGATTGGAGCAAAGACTGGGAAGAAGCAAACAGAACAAAGAAACTTGGGATATGACACTCTGAGGTGTGTATGTAGATTAACCTACGAAATGGTTTATGATTTAGATCAGTCACAACGTTCATGAGCTTGATTGTGATGCATCACAATGGACAAGTGATGAAGATTCTCGTGGGTTGGGTTATCTATCATAGATCCTAAATCCAACTAAACTCTTTAACAATTGTGATGTACAGAGATGGAAATCAATCGGGGGATTAGAATGGGCGAAGAAGTTGAGCCATTTGGTGAAAGGAGTTGCCACTTATGCACAAACTCTGCCTGCAATTTTAGTGACTTGAAAAATTAAAGACATTTGGAATACGTTTCTGTTGCTTTTTTCAATTTGTTAAATTGTATGAAGAAAACCATTAGACTCGATCGAATAGGTTCTGATTTCTCTACTTTGCCTTTCTGCAGTTATTGCTTTCTTGTGGGTGTTGTGATCAGTGTCCATTCACCACACTGTTATAGTGTTACGTCTTATACAACCAATTGAATCCTTAAGTCCAATTTACTTATCTTTTATAATCCTACTCGTTGATTTTGAACCTGTAGTGTTTATTTTGAATAACATGGGGTTCAAATCTGCGTGGCGTAACAACTAGAAAAAAAACATCGCATACGCGTGGATGTAAAACGACGTCGCATTAAGGGAGCGAGTAGAGTACACCCAGATTCAGATCCAAATCGATCACTTACATGTCGCCGATCTCCGGTAGCGACATTCGTTTCGACTTGCAAAGATGGTTAGTCTTATGATCTCTCGATTCTCCCGTAGATCCACCTCTCCATTTGCATTGTATCTTCTTTACATCATTCTTAGTTTTTTTATGCTCAAGGAATCATTAATGGTACAGGATCCTGGCAAGTTTGTATTCCGGAACTGTGTGCATCTGGAATTATCAGACACAGGTATGAGAATTAAGTATCCATGTTAGGATCATCTGTTGCCTTTATCTTACTTGATGCCTTTTATTCTTCCTATTTCTTAACGCTGTGCTCCTTCTCGATTATTTTTTACCCAAAATCTCCGTATGACTTTGCAGACAATGGTAAAATCTTTCGAATTTGGTGATCTTTACTTATGTAAGCACTAAATTTAGTAAGTTTCATTGGTATTGTCACTCATGATTTGTGTAAATAGCTAAAACGAATGTATAGATGATGAACTCATAAGGAAGAAGCAAAAGAACCGATTGCGAAAAATCAAGGAGGCGTTGCCTGCGCAGGGTCGGAGTTGGGCTGAGAGCTACAAGGGATGTATGGTCTCCACACTGTGTCTTTACCAGGAATATCCATGAGGGTGATTCCTTTATTCTCTAACAATTCTCGAATCTCATCGCTTCTCTTGAATTCTTTGTTCTTCCGCGCAATTTCCCTTTCTTCAATCCTCCGCAAGACCTCTTCTTCTTCTATTCCTGCTCTTGCTAATGCCTTTTGTTTCATCTCTTTCAAAAACTCGGCATAGCTTAGAGTAGTGAGCAAACCAAGCACATCAAGAACTTGCCTCACAGCTTTCTCAACCTCTACAAGCAGCGACAACCTCTGCTTCTTGATGGAAACGTTGGTGAATTTCATCGCTTCTTGAAAAGCACCCTCGAGTATATGAGAAGTGTTCAAGTCGTCTGACATTTTTGTTTCAAACTCTCTTTTCAACTTCTTTATCACGTCTTTGGCTTCTGAAGTCTGTTCACCATCTTCACACATTGCTTCTCGATATGGCGAGAGAGCTTCAACAAGATCTTCTAGCGTCTGAATAAAAAAAGATTACAGGGTAAAATTCAGAAACGTTTGCAACCGCATTTAGTTAAGGAATGCTAATCAAACTGTGAGGCACTGCACCTGATAAACATAATATAGAGAATCCGACGAACTCTTTAGCTGTGACACCGCATAGTTCAGAGGAGAACGGTAATGTGCACTTATCAAGAAGTGTCTCAGAGCCAGTGGATGATACTTAGCCGTGATCTACACATATTCAAAATTCTGCATTAGCCATGAGAAAACACACCCAAAGAAGACTCATTATATGCCATTGGAACAATTAAGAAAACATACTTCTCTAATTGTAAAAAAGTTATTCAGTGGTTTTCCCATCTTCTCATTATTGTTGGTGACATGCCCATTATGCAACCAGTAATTTACACCACTATCTTTGCAAGCAGCACATGCCTCGGCAATCTCATTTTCATGGTGCGGGAATTTCAGATCTGCGCCACCACCATGAATGTCAAATCTCGGAGACAGATAATGGGCACTCATTGCACTGCACTCGATGTGCCATCCCGGTCTTCCTGGACCCCAAGGACTCTCCCAACTCGGTTCATCGGGTTTTGCAGCCTGCATATATATCAACCATAAACTCCAAAGGCTCTATTTTAAGTTTAACAAAAGGATTATACTAGTCAAACCTTCCATAACGCAAAGTCAGCAGGATTATGCTTTCTTGGATCAACAGCAACCCGCTCACCAGCTCGAGTATGATCCAGCAGTTGCCCTGATAGTTTACCATAATTCGGTGACTTATCGACCGAGAAGAACACATCACCACCCACTACATACCCACATTCGTTCTCAATGATCTGTAGTAAAGAAGCATATGAATCATAAACCCTTACTGGAGCTATAGTTTCATCAATATATCAACCAAGAAATATCGAAAGAAGCCAAATAAGAAAGCAGACCTTTTCTATCATATTTACTATATCCACCATATGGTCACTGACACGAGGCTGGTGGGTGGGAAGAAGGCACTGAAGAGCACTCATATCTACAAGATACTCCTCGCAAAAGCGATTACTCAAATCTAACGGCTTCTCCCCACACTCGTTAGCCTTTTTAATTACCTACACATGTACAGAATTCAAATTTTAGAACGTTATAAACCTAAACATAGAACAATGTTCTCTGGAAATCACTGGAAATTGGGAATTCCGTAAACAGCGTAAACAGAAGGACTCTTGGTGTTCATTGCCATAGTTTCAAAACGTCACAAGACAAGAAAATGCCATACCTTGTCATCAACATCAGTAAAATTTAGGACATAAGTAACTTCATAACCCAAGTGCCTTAAGTATCTGCATAACCAGTACAACACTAGAGAGATAAATCCCAAACTCCAAGAAAACTCAGTCATGGATCAAATTCTCCAGCTTGGTTTTCAGTGTTTATCAAATCAAACAAAAATCTATCACTAGACAGAAAAAGTTTCAAATGTCGGATTTTAGACAGAACCCACCAAATAGATGATCTCAAGCAACAATCGAAAAATTGAAACTTGAATAGAGAAAAAAGAAGAGAGACCTGTAAAGGACATCAAAGGAGACAGAGGCACGAGCGTGGCCAAGATGGCTGAAATCGTAGGCTGTAATACCACAGACATACATTCCAATCTTGCCCGGATTGATTGGCTTCAAAACTTCCTTCCTTTGAGTCATCGTATTGTACAATCTCAACTCTACCTTCTCCATCTCCGACGATAATTTGCCTCTCTCAGGAAAAACGCCCTAATCCCAAAATATGTTGCTCAAGCATATATATATTTGTGATGTTCCACGTCTGATTCTGGAAACAAAAAGAAAGATTCTAAATTCGACCCAAAAAAAAAACAAAAGGAAGATTCTCATTTTCTTTTTGAAAAGAAATAATAAATTGATTTTTGAACTTAAATTTCCAACAGTTTTTTTTTTTGAGAGAAAAAATTTTGAGCATAAATTTTCAACAGATATGATCCAATTTAATTTTTTACAAGAAACAAAAAAAATCAGTTTCTGTTATCGAACTCTTATAAATACGGGTAATTTAATATCCACTCGTAAAGAAAAAACGTAAATATTAAATCTAACTTCCAATATAATAAATATTAAAATCGGTCAAAAATATAAATATTTTGTTAACACGTTTGTGGTAGGGTTAGGTTTAAAATCTAAAGACTTAATGCGGATTCGAAAAAAACCCTACGGATATTGGTTTTTATCGAATAATCACATAAATTATTCAATACGGATTCGAATATAAATACTTTAAAATATTTTTTCATGTTTTGGAGATCGGTTTAAATATTGAAAAATTGGCATCAATAACCATAAAAAAATTATATCTAAAATTCTAACCAAATGCACTAAATCTAATGCTCATTATTTGGCCACATATAGCCGGTTACTTAGTTGATTATTAATTTTTTTTAGTTATTGAGCAAATTGACCTTTAAATATTTAAGATGATGAACCGGTAAAACAAATTAGTTTATTTATTTATCGAATTAGTCGGGTTAAATCCATAAGTTAATTGAAAAAAAATATTTGTGGAAAAGAAAATTGAATACGAAATTCTAAATTAATGCGTATTTATTGTAGTAAAAAACCTCATGTTAATAAACATAAGAAAATAAATTTTGACGTCTTATAAATCATCAGATCACTAAACTCCCACGTAAACATTAATCACAGCCATATTCTTCATTTGTGGTCACATATCCCTTTCAACCAACCCCACCACATACGAACCACATGTATGTGTTTACTATATCTTATAAAAATCTACCACCATTTGCAATCGTTTACTTGGAATCAGAGTAAAAAATGGGTCTAAGAGCATTGCCTCTCCAACACAACGGAGGGTTTGTCTCTACGACCAAAATTCCGGTCTCAAGAGCCTTGCCGAGAATAAGCCGGAACCCTAGATGGGTCGTCGTGTCCGCGA